CAAACACCCCCTCCCCTCACACAAACACCCCCTCCCCTCACACATAAACACAAGCTTGCATACACCCTCACACACACATACACCCTCACCCACACACACACACACACACATACATCCTCACCCACACACGCACACACCCACACCCAGCAACACCTATACACACTCTACCCTTCACGAAAGTTTCAGCGATAAGGCGTTATCTCTTTGTGTCCACAACACACCACTAGGCCTACTACGACCAGCAGTGGTGACCTGGAGAAGACACACACACACACAGTGGTTTGTACGAGATACAGCTAACGACTTCTCGCTTCTCGTGTTGGGAAATCTCCCATACTGTCTCCCATACTGCTGTTGTTTTAATTTGTGAAAGAAGATCAAAGGAAAAGATATAATCATACAGAGTGCATAAAGTCAATTGAATTCAGTCGAACTGAGTCACGGGCCAAGCCACATTTATCTCCATGGAGGTAAGTAGTAGAGGGTTTTACGGCGCTCGCCACTGCATAAGGTCATATGAGCGCTCCATGGAGGTAAGGGCAAAAGATGCCATTTTGGCACAATTATTTGACTGAATTTGAATGTGATCTTCAAATCAAACGTGTGTTTGTTTTTCCAATTCATATTATCGATAATGACAAAATTGTCGCTTTTGCGACTCCCATCACAGAGGGCAATCTGTCTGGCAACTGATTCAATTTGACTGAATTCGATTCACGGTGTGCACAGGGTTATAAATAAACTCGCAAGTGTGTTCCAACAAAAGGCAGCAGTAGCTGTACTGTAATGCATACATACAATTGTTTTGTACTCTTGAAACATTGCTGTTCTTAGATCATCATTAACCTCTTTCTTTTATTAACTCTTGTTTCTCTTGTTTGTTTGGGGTTTTTTTCCTTGTTTTTTTTTTTTTGGTTTGTTTTTCTTTCATTAGCAGCACTTTTTGCTGATTTCATGGAATTGAGCCCCTTTGTGGATGCCAAGAATTCTTGATTTTTGTCCTTTGCATGGATGTTCTTCGGTTCTTCTGGGTTTTCTTTTTTTCTGTGTTCATAATTTCTGTGACTGTCGTGTCCATGGGACCTGGTTTTATTTCCCTCCCTCCTCCCTCCCTCTGGAGTTGTGTGCAGTGGTATATTATTGTCCTGTCTGTTAGCTAGTGTTGTGGTACTTATAAACTGATGGATGGGATCAGACGGTACTTGTTAACTGAAAGGGCAACGACAGTAGTTGTAACATACATGTTATTCTATATATATATACTGAACGGATGAAGACAGTTATTATATTTTGAATGAACGGATTAGAGACAATTTTTAACTGAACCTGTAATAATGCCCCATGTAGTGTTTGACCTAAATCTGACCTGGTTCCCCAGAGCTTGTGTTGAGTGTGTCCTCTCCC